CCGGTATAACTACAGGCTGGGGGATGAAGGGTTTGAGAGCAGCCCTGCCGAGAAGGACTTGGAACTGGTGGATGAAAAGCTGGACATGAGCCAGCAATGTGTGCTCACAGCCCAGAAGGCCAATCATGTCCTGGGCTGCATCACAAGAAGCGTGGCCAGCAGGTCGAGGGAGGGGATTCTGCCCCTCTACTCTGCTGTGGTGAGACCCCACCTGGAGTACTGCGTCCAGCTCTGGAGCCCTCAGCATAAGACAGACGCAGACCTGTTGGAGCAGGTCCAGAGGAGGGTCACAAAAATGATCAGGGGGATGGAACACCTGGGGTAGATGTAGTCTAGATATAAGGCAGAAATTTTTTACACTGAGGGTGGTGAACCACTGGCACAGGTTGCCCAGAGAGGTGGTGTGTGCCCCATCCCTGGAAACACATTCCAGGTGGTTGGACGGGGCTCTGAGCAACCTGATTTAGTTGAAGATGTCCCTGCCCATGGCAGGGGGGTTGGACTAGACGACCTTTAGAGGTCGCTTCCAAACCAAAGTATTCTATGATTCTATGATTCTATAAAGGAAAATTTTGTTATCGTTTTTGAAGAAAGAGAGAGATTATTTCTAATTTGCTACTCCCCAGAACAAATCTCCATGCTTGTCAGTGAATTTTGGGAGACAGATTTACCTGAATACTGTGTGCAACCTCCTCACGACCTGCCAGGAGCTGAGCCAAGCTCTGTGTACCCAGAACGTTTCTCAGAGTTGTCTGTGCCAAGAGAAAGGTAGCCAAATGGACATCAGTGACATTGGCGACGGCGCTGACAGCACTGTGGATCCTGTAGTACACCACTCCATCAACTTGGATAGTAATGGCATCTTTTGTGAGAATCTGCATTGGAGAAATGTGCAGAATTAGAGAAGGATCCAATAACACATCCCTTGCCAAGGAAGGGGAATTTTTTTTTCCCCTTAGTGAGGAAAAGGCCTTGATAATTCAAGGAAACTAAGAATTTCATTTGGTTTCTTTGTTATTCCCCTGAGAAATAACTTCAAGAAAGTTATTCTGCATCACCAACAGTTTAAACTAGGGCAAAATGTTGTACATAGCCTTTAGACAACTGTTTCAACAGTAAGTAAGTGAATCTCATAACCTGCATGAATTTCTTCTGCAGTACTAAATGATGGTTTTCCTCTTCCCTTCTGGTAGAAAGGGCCATTACCGGTTTTACACATTGCATGCAGATTGGAAGATCTGTGATACTTCCCCTAAACAATGTATTTGTAAGAAACACCAGCAAATTAAAACAAAAGTGAAAAGCAAAGTGCAAGCAACTGTGAGAAGAAACTCTGAAAAATATTTAAGTATTCATAGAGAAGTTGTGTCATCTTTTGCCAGACAAGCCCCCGGTGCCTCAGCAGGCAGTTGGCCTCAGCAAAGCACTGATGATGCTCCACTGTCTCTTCCCTCCTGAGCATCTTTTGCCTGCAAGTAAGTGCTTCACAAAAGCCCTGCCAACGGCTGCAGAAGCCTTGCCAAAAGCTGCTAAGCCTTGTACAGCACAAGTACTGCAGCCATCTTCCTTCCAGCCTTCCATTTCGGGGAAGACATTTTTCATTCCACCACCTGCATCCCTGAAACCTGCACTCTGAGAAAAGGCTCTTTGTGATTACGGAAAGATAATGGTCCAAGAAACAGCTCCTGGGGAACACAATGGGCAATTCCAGGGGCCAAAGGCATCCTGGGGCCATCCTGCCTCCCTCTGCTCTTCTCTTCACGTAAGGAAGGAGACAGCAGTGCCAACTCCACCAGCGGAAGCATTGTACCATGATATGGGGCTGGGGCCACACGGAACCAAAACTTTTCCAGGACAGGAATTGCTCAGCAACTGATTCTTTAGACTAAATTCTTTGATCAACGTTTGTCAATAAAATGCCT